TAAAATAATTTTCTAATATATACATATATTATTATTTTTTTCTTTTCCTTTTGCCAATTACAATTGTGATTTAGTAACAAGGGTTCAATAATGTAACATCTTGATTCTAATTTTACGTTTGACCACTAACTTTAATTTTTGTCTCTTAAATATAGTTATAATTTTAATTACCTTATTTAAAATATATATACTAATTCTTTTAACAAAAAATTTATTAATAAATGAGTAGAAGAGATACTTAAATCTATTATAAGATAATCATATCACCATGAAATATTCTAACCATACAATGCATCAAACAATCAACAACATTTCATTTAATCCTATAACGTTCCTTGTTTTGCTGGGCAGCCCCAAACGCTTTAATAAAACCTCCAATTTATACAGCTCTTTTGAGTGCAGACTATTATGACGGAAGATACTGTAAATATTAAGTACTTAATAATATTTTCATTATAGTTACCAAACGATTAAAATTGACAATTGACTTATCCAAAGCACTTCTCATAAACATTAATTTTTTTTTTGGTTGTTGTCAACAACATAATACAATGATTTTATGTAGCTGCAAACACGTTACGTATTACGCAACTATAAACATGACATAACAATATCAATTAGAGTCTAAATTATAGACGGTAAAACACTACATGTTCTAGTAAAGGGGTGTCCTATTTGGATTCGCAATAACTTGAATTGTCTTCTTTGGATTCCGTTTCAGCCAACCCATGATAGTAGGTTTCAACTTTTCTGTCAGCTTAATGATGATCAAGAACAAACCCCGATAGAAAACCACCATTCCCAACAAGACAGCAAGATCGACCCATTTGGAGTAAGCCATCTCCGCTTGCCAATTATCCCTTATAACCACATGGCCATTAATGAAGGTTGGCCTTCTGCCAGGCATGTTATGAATCCTTAAACCTTCAAATTCATTCTTGAACATCCCCTGTATGGCATACCTGTAAGTGGGAAACCAACAAAGTTTACATGAGTTAAACTCAAGTACCTTCAAAACTCTAGACCCTTTTTACTATCTTTTAAAAATTTTGAAAAAAAAAAAAAAAAACAACGATGTTTTATAGTCCAGTTTATAATGGACTGCAGCATCGCGGCCCTTAGAAGGAGTGGTACTCAAGTATTAACAGTCTCTTTATTATGAGGTGAAGTTAAAAATGCTCTAATACTTTTGTCAAATAAAAATGAAAACTATACCTGTGGAAACTAAGGTAGTATAGAGGATACTTCCAGAATGGATCGGGCATATCGTCGGGTAATCGGAAAAACCCGCCACCTAGGATCATGAGACCTTGGATTCCGGCACCGGTTATTATGCCCATTAGGAAATTGGGGACTATGCTTGCCACAGTCATCATCAAGCTCTCAACCAACATCATACAAGCAAATAATACTGCCACAAAGTAGAAGAAGCGGTCGGCTCCCTTATGCAGTCCAGGGAGATAGTAAGTAATTACTCCGGGGACAAGTGCTATAAGTATCAGAAATGGCAGGGCAGAGAATGTGTTGCCAATAACAAAGGCAGTGACAGAATAGTGCCGGTTTAGTCTTTCCCGTTCAAATACCTGAAAATCAATTAAAAATTAGTAACGCAAGACATGTTGTTCAATTAAGAAGAGTCATCCAACAAGAGCTTCCCGAACTGGCACAAAAGTGTGACAACTAAAAATGAACAGAGATAGTAATTTTTTTTTTTTTTATTGGAGTTATAGTGTAAAAGGCATAGAAACAAAAAAATGTTAAGTGTGAGTGTGAAATACCTTCATGTCTTCCACAAAGGATGGGAATCCTCCAATGGCCATGAAAGTGAGAAATGAAGCTATGAACATAATCAATGATCCTCTTGCCTAGAAGACACAAAATTGATAAAATCAAACCAATCTCCTATTAAATTAAACATTCCACCTAGTTTTGTGAAATTAATATAAAGTACACATTGCTCGTTGCTCCTTTCTCCTTTGTTACCTGAATTGAGTTATAGCTGTGTCCAAGATGACTAAAAAGAGTGGCAAGCCCCAAAGCCAATGCAATGTATACTATCAAACGAAGCCAGTAGTATCCCAGATCGCGGAACATGTTTGTGAAAGACCTCCTGGTTAGGACTTGGCACTGAGTGAAGAAGCCTGCACGCTTCCTTTTCTCTAATGTTCCAGAAACCTAAAATCCAAGGGAGCAGTGTCGATTAATATTAGAGAAAAATTAATGTGACTCGGATGTGTAAGCCTATACAGACAAAGGTTTGTATTACAAACCTGTTCATGGATTTGAGCTATATCCTTCTGAACTTGTTTGAAAGTCTCAGAAGATTTGTATGAGTTTACCAGAATTTTGATTACTTCCTCTGTAGGCAAAGCATTAGGATAACCCTGCTCAATATCCTGGAGAAAAACAACATAAATTTGATTTCATTAATTAGAGAATGAAATTAATTTAACGACTGAAGAAAATGCAAAATAAGTCAATGGATACCTGCTCAAAATCCTTGTTTATAGTTTTGAGGAAATGATCAGAAGGGTTTTGGACAGCTGGGCAAGGGAATCCATTTAACGCGAAGAACTGCATTACATATTGAAAAAAAGTCAGTTTCTCATTCACATTTGGATTTGAGTTGTCTGTTTTGCAATTCAAATAACAAAAAGAAACCATTGGAAAGGGTGTGCGCCCATTCAATAGCTCAAGTCTTACGGTCTAGACTATACAGTACTTTTTTTGTTTGAATTATTATTTTCAATAAGGACTAGATCAAAGGTTCTGATACCAAATTAAGAACCACTTTGTTTAAAAGATTAAACTGACCACAGATGAGGGCCAAAGAATAATATTAATCTTGACAAAGTTCAAAATTAAAATTTAAGACAGCAAAATATTAGGCTTAATTACCTCACTTGTGGCGGAGGCAGGACCAAAATAGACTGTCCTACCAGAGGACAGAAGATAAAGGTTGGTGAAAAGCTGAAAGACTTCACTGCTAGGCTGATGGATTGACGCAACAATCGTTCTCCCAATTCCATCTCTTCGATTCAGGCTTGCGATTCTGCTCATAACATAGTATGATGCTGCACTGTCAAGGCCACTAGTCGGTTCATCAAGGAACAGAAGTCTAGGATGTGTCAGCATTTCTATACAAATGCTGACTCTCCTCTTCTGGCCACCGCTTAGTCCTTTGGCTCCCCACCCCCCAATACGTGTATCCATGGCATCTTCCAACCCCATTTCCTTTATTGTCATTTCTGCTCTCTCCTTCTTCTCTGCCACAGACATTGTATCCGGTAATTGGAGCTGAGCAGAGTAGCCGATGGCTTCTCTTACAGTAAGTGTAGTGATTAGTGCATCATCTTGGGTTACATATGCCTGAAAACATATATCATAGATTCATTATACAAATTTCAACTGAATGATGATTTTTATTTTTATTTTTTTCTAGGTTCAATATTTTGCTATCATACCAGTGTTCCGTAAGCTACTGATGATTGTTTCCGTCCATTGATCAGAATATCTCCTGTTTGCCTTGCTTTTGGATCTAGTCTTCCTGCAATACAAATACAAGTTAGACTTTATGGAAAATACTGAAAAGTTTTATGCTCGATTCATACAAAAAGATAAGTGTTAGGACCAAACTGAATTCAGGTTAAGGATGATTTTATGAGAAAGAGTAAAATCCCTATTTTATATCCCCATTCTATGTACAAACAAAAACATTAATTTTTTTTTATTTTTTTGGGTTTCCTGCCCGGTATCCGTCGTCCCGACTAATCCGGACTCGACCCGCGTCGCGCACCTAGAAATGGTGGGTGAGTCTCTCAGCGAGGGCTGCTGTGTACACAAGATCTCGAACTCGAGATCTTATTTAAGCTGGAACAAGTCACTTACCACTTGATCCAACTCTCGGTAACAAAAACATTAATTGAACTACAAAATTAAGAAAGGTACACATTTTTTGGCAAAAAAAAAGCAGGGGCTACCCGTTTTGGGCCTCCAAATGTTAGAGATCAGGAGAAAGGCCCATGGCCGAAAAAGAAGAGAGAAGGACCCACATCACGGTGTCGTTAACGGGGAGGATTCAGAACTCTTCAAAAAAGTGTGGAACAAAACTTGGAAATTGGTTCAAGACTGAAGTCCCACTAAAATTAATTTGCCGCAAAAAGGATCCATTGTAGATGTTAAGGCTGTCAGATGTGTGTTTTGCATGGCTATTGAACAGAATTCAAAGCACGCACTTATTTGTTGCAAAGGTGCATATAATTTGTGGTATAGATGGTTTAGATCGTGGGCATACAGGGTGTTTTGGCTGAAAATTAATTATTGGAAGATGTTTACACAGTATGGTGACCTAGAAAAGAACAAAAGTGCTCGGGACAGGTGGGAACTGATTTGGTTATCCATATTTTGGACTTTGTGGCTTGCTAGGAACAATTTGGTTCACAGAAATGGCATGCTAGATGAAGGGCGGATTTTTGATGTAGTCTAGGTTCGGTCCCTTCAACGGATTAAAGCGAATATGGGTGGCTGCTACTTCACCTTCACAGTCTGGATGCAAGAACCAAGACAGTGTGCCTTTCAAAATAAAAAATCCAAGACAGTGCATGAAATCTGTATTGCAGGGAAGGATGTATGTAAAAAGAGGAGGAAATGAAACCTATGCTTTCTGTCTTACTTGAGAAATATCTTGATAATTTTGTTTATATATACTAAAACTAAATTGGAAGCATATATAGGCTAGATACCTCTTGTATCGATTAATAAAATTATTTTTTGTTGTTAAAAAAAAAATTAGTTAACATCGAGATCGAGATTTAATGAAAATAAAAATGAAGTTTAGTTTAGTTTATGGTATTTTTTTTTTTATACATATGATAATAAGCTAACTGCTTGATATTAAAAAAATTTAAATATTTAATTTTAACATTAAATCAAGGTTTTTATACTAGTTTTAATTTAAGAGAAAAATTTTAATGATTTCAACTCGACCAACTTTAGTTTAGTTTTAAAGAAATTTTAGCAAGGGAGAAAAAATGAGATCTCCTTCCACTGCACTGGTTTGTAGAAGTTTACCTGCCAATGTGTCGAGGAGCGTAGATTTGCCACAACCAGAAGGACCCATGATGGCCAAGAGCTCTCCCGGCCGGGCATAGCCTGTTAGACCTTGAAGGATTGATCGGCTGCCATGTTTCCCATTAACAGTAACCCACAAATCCTCCCAAGTCAAGAAAACACCACCTTTTTCAACAACTCGTCCTGATCCCTCTCTCTTTCTTGAGCTCGACGTCGGAACATTAACAGCTTCCACTTCTAATGCACTCCTAATTTCTGGATTATTTTGCAGAGACTGAGAGTCCCAACTTTGATTAGAAATGGAGGCCATGGTGCATATTCAAAGGCAACAACCCGCGTCTTTAAATAGAATTTAATATGTAAGTAAGCCCTGGGCAACGTGGACGACGGACTGAGAAAGTGGATGAAACGTGGTTCACATGCGTGTCATGGGTGAAAGGTTTTTGTTACGGACCGATATCTGTCAATTAATATTACTGACATCAGCATTTTGAAAACAATGGCTGAAAAAAATATAAAAAAACAATGGCTGAGAGTTTCTACCTTCTAGTAGATGGTAAAAGACAAACGGCTAAACCGTACGTTAAGCCTTTTTTT